TGGGCACCTGCCTCCCACAGCGCAGCCAAACCTCCGCAGGCACCTGCCCTGGGGCCAAACCCCCTTTCCCGCAGCAGGGCCAAACCCCCACGGGCCCCTCTCCTGTGGCGGGGCCAAAGCCCCTCTCCCGCAGACCCCTACCCCAGGGCCAAATCCCCCCCTCGCGTAGCACAGCCAAACCCCCACGGATACCTGCCCTGGGCCAAACCCCGGGGCTGACCCCCGCTCCTGCGACACAGGGAAACCCCTGCGCTCAGCTCACCCCTCTGGCGCCGGCGGCGCAGGGACCTCCTCTAGGGCTGACGCCCCCTCCCCCAGCACGCAACAGAGCTGTGGGAAAGGAGCAGCTCGCGCACTTCCGAACCTCCCGGAAGTGACGTGGGCTTCAGACAGGACTTCTGTCCACCCTGCAGGAAGCCGGCACTACACTGGAGGTAGATAGTGGGGCTTCTCGGCGGTGGGGAAAAAAAATGGGAGGATGGGGGTGCCCAAACACCTCGTGATCGACCAGTCGAGGCCTCGCGATTGACCAGTCGATCACAATTGACGGGTGGGTGACCACGGCCCTAGAAGGATTGTTTATTCCCCAGGGTACATGTACCACTGGTTGAGGGTCACTGTCCTACACCTAGGGATGTTAAATTTAGCGTAATCAACTAGTCAATGGAATTTCCATTTACTCTTAATATATTTAAAAGGCTGAAGTGCAGTGGGGGTACCCAGTGCGAGCCGGGACAGTTGATTCCCGGCTTGCACCTGGTCCCTGCTACCTCCTACAGAGATGGTGCTGGGGAGAAAACCAGCTTTTAAGCCAGTTCCCCCCAGCACTAGCTCCTGCTCACTCCATTTGCTGTGGGGTGAGAGGTCAGAGTTTTCAAAATGCTTTTGCCATAGGATACTTCCGTATGATTTTATTTTTATATGGAGATATACCTCTCTCATAGAACTGGAAGGGACCTTGAGAGGTCATCAAGTCCAGTCCCCTGCCCTCATGGCAGGACTAAGTACCATCCCTGACAGATTTGCCCCAGATTCCTAAATGACCCCTCTCAAGGACTGAACTCACAACCCTGGGTTTAGCAGGCCAATGTGCAAACCACTGAGCTACCCCTCCCCCCAAATGATAAATCTATGGGACACAGCTGTTGAACCAGAGTTCAGTACACCCACTTCCTCTCATTCCCCTGAGCAAAGAGAGCTGTCTGTTGGGTAGTTCTGGTCTTGACAAAGCTCTGGGCACTAAGAAATGCAGTGCCCGTCTACCCTGAAGCTTGCAGTCAAACATTATTATTACATGCCTAATAAGCTTACAAAAACTTGAAATGCCATAATATACACAACAGTACTAGGGATGTAAAATCCTGTTTCATTGGTTAAACACGTAAACACACTGCTAATACTACATTTATCCAATTATATGGGCTCCTCCAGCCTAGTTGTTCCTCCCCACACCCCTGCCAGGCTATGGGCAGAGGAAGGCATTGTCTTCCCAAGCCACTAACCTGGCACCATCCACACTCCACCCCCAGAATGCTTAATGTAGATAGGTCCAGGGAGGCTGGGGCTGCACCCATGCACTCTCCTCCCCTCAGTTAGGGTGGTGGTCGGGGGTCACATGCGCGCATGGCTTGCTTCCCTGCAAGGGTGGGTGTGGGGAAGTAGCTTGGCTATGGTGGGGACGGGGTGGGGCCGTTGCAGAAGGGACGGGTTCACCCCTTCACTAACCAACCATGGACAGGGGGGCTGCTTCTGGTTACTGGGTAACCATTTAACTGACTACCCGTAAACAGTACTTGAGAATATAATTCACACACTTTAAAATATCATTTGCCTTGAACAAAAAAAAAAAGTCAATCACATTAGTTATTGCAACTGGATAATAGGTCTAGCTCTATCAGTGTCTTAGTTAACATCATTTAAGCTAAACTTAAAAAATATATAGTCTGGTAGCACTTAAAGACTAACAAAACATTTAGATGGTGGTATAAGCTTTTTTGGGCACAGCCCACTTCTTCAGATGACCACCTACATGTTTTGTTAGTCTTTAAAGTGCTACCAGACTGTGTCATTTTTTAAAGTTTATCCTGTACAAACTTAACTCTGCTACCCCCTGAAGCATCATTTGAGCTGTACAGTGGATAGGGTTTAAGACTTCTGTGCTATACACACTGAGATAAATAAGGCAATAGCTATCAGCAGAGAAGCTTCAAAGAAAATTTTAGCCTGCTAATTTCTCACACTTACAAGCTCTTCTGTATAGTCCGGCACCTCACAGGAAGGACAAAGACAAACTGGGGACCTTACAGACCCAGCATCAAGTGGCATTAAATACATTCAAACCTCGCAATACTGGTGAAGGTATTTTCCTGGAAATGGAAATTAAACCATTTGCTCAAAGTAGGGGTGTGAAAGGTTAACCGGTAAGCATCACCCGTTGAGGTGATGCTTACCGGTTCTGGTTAACTGCTGGAGCAGCTCTCTGCCTGGTGCAAACAGGGGCTGCTTTGTCCTTCCTGAGCAGCCCATGTCCATAGTAGAAATAGGCTTGTTGAAGGGCAGGGGCTGCTCCAGCTGGGCTGGAGTGCCCCACTCCTCTTTAATCTGTTACCCAATTACAAGATTTTACAACCCTAGCTCAAAAGGTGCTACTGTCTCTCTGGATAACATAGAAAGGTTACAGGTACAAACCCTCACACATTTTGTGTTGAGCACAAGGTTAGGAAGCAAATAAGCAACAATAAAACAACTTATTCACCTTCAGTTTTCATAGTCTTTAGTGTTACAAACAAAACCTAAAAGCTATTTTCGGGAGTATAAACTTTTTCTACAGACACACAATAGCATCTGTTCACACCCAAAGAAATTTGCAAGACATTCATACTGTTCAATTAAACACTAATACCTAAGAAAATGAGGTGGCAGGCCATCAGCTAGCATGCAGCACAGTACATAATAGGGATGTGAAAGTAACCCATGAGCCTTGGCTCATCAGTTAATGTTCACAGTTACACACAGGCTCCCAGTACACAAGGGAAGCCGTCTTAACAGCCGGCTCCTGGGGAGTTTGCCCCCCCTGCGCCCACACTGCTGCCTCTGTAGCTTTAAAACTATATATTTATTTCCTTGATACTTTCATTAGTTCTCATTCTCATGGTGACTCTCAAATTTTTCAACTTCCTTTTTGATCTGCAGACACCTGAAACGGAGAACCTTCCTACTCACCAAAGATCGCATTTGCCCTTTTGGTCAACACATGGCACTAGGAGCTCATGTTAAGCTGATTATCCATCATAACTGTGCAATCCAGCAACCTCAACTTTAATTTACACCATTCTTCCCTCCTTCCCATATCACCCATCCAAGAGTCCCCTGGAAGTTACTTCTATTAACCAGTGCTTACCTTTGGGCCGCGGTCTGCCAGTCTCAGGGCGGCTACGGCGCAGTGTGGCAGGCACAATCTCAGGGGGTAGATGAAGATAATCGCGCAAATATTGGATACCCTCATTAGTCAGATACCAATAAAAGTGCCTCCAAGCAAACTGTTCCTTAACGTAGCCACGGGATTTCAGTGACTATGGAGAGAAATTGTGGTTAACCTTTTTGCAGTTCCTTAAAGTGGATTATTTCTTCAAACATGATCACTCAGATCTCTGTAGTAGTTTATTGGGGGGGGAGGGGGATAGGGTGGAGCACTGACAACTACACATTCATACTCCATGAGACCAATTCAAGAGTCACTATGCAAAACTGAACTATAATGATGCTAAAAATCACAGTTCAGAGAGGACTGCGACTCTTGTGCAACACAATATAAAAACTTTCTACAGTTTGAGTAGGATTTATGAAATTAATATGCAAAAACAATTATTCTGCAAGAAAAAGAGAAGTCCACTGGAGTTGCTGTTTTCTCTCTCCTTAAAGAGAAGTACATGATGAACCTATATAATCCAGGATTCTCTGGTCCAGCAATATCCATGGTTATTGCTGGACCAGAGAGCCCCAGCTGGCCAGGTTAAGGGGTTCGAATGGTGGTGGAAAGCGCAGCCCTAGCAGGAGCAAGGTTGGTGCAATGGGAGAACACAGCTCTGCCTGGGCTAGAGGCAGCTGGGCTGGCACCTGGGAGCACAGCCCTGGCTGGTGGGGATTGACACAGTGGGGAGCAAAGGCATGGACAGCATAGCAGAAGGCGCAGCTGGGGACTAACACAGTGGGAAGCGCAGCACTGGCACAGTGGGGAGCATGGACTGGAGCGTGGTCCCGGCCCCAGGAGGGGAGTACAGCCTCAGCAGGGCCAAGGGCAGCAAGGAGGTCTGGCAAACCCTGTGGTTTGGGACCGCTCAGGTCCCGGACCAGGAAGGAACCATCTGTAAGGCCATCATTACTTAGATGATGCTCAAACCAATGAGGCCCCAAAACAGAAATTAAAGCTGCTTTTACAGCTCCATGTACACCCACAAATTAATACTTCACACCTGCATGGCTTTCATTACATGGAGGTTGGGTACATTCTTGTCTGCCAGCTCTGGGTGTTTAGGCATGTGAACATCTTTCTTGGCCACCATCACTCCCTCCTTAAAAAGGAGTTCGTAGATGGCAATTCGGTTCTTCTTGGGCATCAACATCTAGAATGAGAAACAAGTAGTAAACTTGTAGTATACATTAGCGTGCTACTAGATCCAATAACTGGATGTATTTTATTTTACATCACTTGACTCCACTGGACCTTCAGTAATTCACTGAGCAAAGCACTATCTTTAACCAAGCTAGAAATTATGAACATCCTTGCTGCATATGAACTGGCAAGATGTATGGAAGTTTGCTACAAGATGTAAGATTACATAGATTAGCTGCTCAGAAGCCTATGTTATGCTGCACTAGGAAGAGCAAGCAAAGTAGCCTTTTTGATGACAGATATATTTGTAAACAGAATCATTGCAAACATGCATTCAGTTGTCTCCAGACTTACTTTCTACTGATTTTAATTCAATCTCCCTGCCAATAAAAGCTACACATACTTAATGAGTGCTTTAAGCATAAAGTCCCTGATACTTAAGTGCTTTAGATGTACAAAACTAGTGCAGCATAATGAACAGAATCAACAAGCTGTTAGAGGGGCTACTGAAATAAAAAGCTACTTAGAAAATTGTAAATGTATATTCATATGTAGTCCCACAATTAAGAGGGTCCATAAAAACAATAACTGCCCATCATTACAGTGACAAAAAGGATGTTTTGGCTTTGGGTCACTTCTAATTAACATTCGCACAGCGTCTAACTGCAAAAATCATGTTCACAGGCCATCCAGAGAAAAAAGGAACATGTCCCACATGCATGGGAGCCATGGAGAACCCATCACTAAGCAACAGAAAAATAACTTTTCAGCACTTTGGTGCAGTTCATGCACAACTTGCCACCCAGTCTCAATGACTCTGGGCTGGGCAGGATGGACTTGATGAGCACCTGAGGTCTCTCCCAGCTCTGATTCTATGAAGACTTTTCCATCACACCTGCCCGCAGTACAGGGAAAGCCGGACCCTCTTCCATACCAGCAGGGCTGGAGATTTACAAGGGCTGCAGGTTTACACTGCCTCAGTTTACAAGGTAGACAGCAGAAATCGGATTTCCCAGTTTAGCCTACCCAACCCATCCCCTCGACCCTACCAAGAGCACTGCGTAGCTTCTCCCACCCACCCAATACACAAGCAGCTTTCCAGGCACTAATTTCTCCCCCATACCCCGGTGGCCCAGCATAACATCCAGCCCTAGGCCGCAAGCGCCCCCACCCCACTTGGGGCCTAGCTCCCTCCAGTCCCCGAGGGCCCTCCCGGGAAATATCCCCATAGACATGTGGCGCAGGGTGCCCGCCAGCCGCCGAGATCCAAGCCGGGGTCCCAGGCCCCAGGATGGCGGCGATGGGAGAGAGATGAAGCAGCTGGAGCGCGGACGTACCGTGGCGGTAAGAGTAAGCCCAAGAGCTGGAAAGGAAAGAGCATGCGCAGGGCGGTCTCTTCCGGCCTGCCGCGAAGGACCCCACGCAACAGCGGCGCAAGCGACTAATCGAGTGCCGGGGGGAAATCGCGTTAGGACCCCTCTCCTTGAGCAGAACACATGGGTAGCCGTACCAGTGCCTGAATGGGAAATGCCACCTGCATTTAATTGCAGGTTGGGAGGGAAGTGGAAATGGAAGTTAAGTGGCTTCTGATGTTGGGTGCTTCATTTTTTTTAACGTGTCTAATTTAAAATAACAAGGTCCTGATTTCTAGAGCTCCATTGAGTCTAGTGATATCAGCCTCTCTGACAATTTAGCCAAGTCTGTTATCTAAAGCTGAGCACCCAAACCCAGAGAGACCTGTTCTGTTCAGGCCATATTGAATGAATAGTGACATTGGCTCCCCCTGCAACATGACCCGCCATGCTACTTTCAAATCCCTGCAGATTACTGTCATCTGGTGCACTGAAGCCAGAGAAGTCATCTCCTGTCCCCAGTCCTGCACCCACAAAGCCCCATTTGAAATCTGTAGGACTCCACGCAGACACAGGGTGATGCGGCTTATCCATTTGCAGGATCATGGTCAGTGTTAATACACTGTGTTGTCAGTTCTCTTCATAACCAGCCTAAGTAAAACTCGTCTTTGATCCTCTGGTCTAGTCAACAGAAATTCCTCAGATTTTAGGGTACAGTAGCATATCTGTGTTGCTGTAGCTATGCTGGCACAATACAGTAGATGCAGCCTATGCCAAAGGAAAGGGCTTTTCTAGTTTATGAATGCCATCTCCCCAAGCATCAGTAGCTAGGTCAATGAAAGCAGTCTTCTGCTGACCTAGCTGCATCTACACTTAAATTGACACTATTTTGGACAGAGGTGTGGATTGACAGATATTGCTATGTTGACTTAAATTTTAAGCATAGACCAGGTCACAGAATTCTAATGAAATTCTAGTCTACTACAGCAGCATAGCTACTGCACTGCAGTTGTACTGCTCTCTGCTCTAGCACCATAGCATAGATGCTGCCTACATTGACAAAAGGGGTTTTTCCACCTAAGAGATGATAGCTAGATGGCTGGCAGAATTCTTTCAGAAGTATTGAACAGTTGACAATCAGAACCACAGCAGATCTTGCTTTTGGCACTCAAAACATCCCACCTACTCTAACATACTTTGCCTTGTATTTTACTGGAACTTCATACTCTTTGTACAAATGTATGGTTTTGTGCCATGGATATAACAATAGAGGTACTGACCCTTAAAAAGAAATGCTGTCCTGTATTCTTCTTACTGATGTCCTTTCGTTCCTTTGAATGTAGATGGATGCCCTAATTTAAATTCAGATTAGACAGGCATTTGCAAAAATCTAAGCAAAATCAACAATCAGTCAAATATTAAATAAAGTATATGGGTCTTGTATCATGGCCTCCACTGGCTGCTAGACCCTGGATCATATGAGCTGCTAAGGGAAATTAATTCTAATGAACACACAAACAACTATTGAAGCATTCCACTGTAAAAGCCCTAAACAACATTGCTAATGGAGTGATTACTGTATAGCAAATCACTATTGTACTTTGGAGCCTTTGGTCCTTAGCTATCCAATATTGCAGTTTGTATCTATATCTATATATTTTAAAAATGTGCATCTCTGTGCTTGTCCATCTGTGAGTCTGTTTGTGAGTCTTCCCTGGGAGAAAGCTCCCCCTGCCCTGGGAAGGGTCGGGGGGAGGGAGAGAGCCCCTGGGCCCTCACCCCCACCCCAAGAGGGGCCAAAGGATAAGAAGAAAGCCCCTGGCAGCCCCTCCTGAAAGAAGTCCGGGGGGAAGGAGGAAGCCCCTGGTGCACGCATGCGCGCGCACACACGCACCAGAAGGGGCCAGAGGAGAGGGAGAGATCCCCCAGTTGCCCCTCCTGCAATCCCACACCCCTGGCCTTCTCCCCGAAGACCCCCAAATTCCCCAGGCCTTGCCCTGACTCTGGCACCCCCTACACACCACCAGCCCCTTGCCTTGAAGTCTTCTAGTACATTTATATATGAGAAAAACAGGGACCCACCATCATTGAGAAAGCGGCACAAATTAAATACCTATGGAACAAGGAGAGGCAGGACATCTTTTTATTATATTATTTTTGCATTTGTATGTAATAACATGGCTATATAAATTTAATTATTCTGCTCCCACCAGAGGGCAGGAGGTTCCTCATCCAGTTTGCATTACCACACAGAAATCTTAAAGAGCTTCCATCAAAGAACATATCTATTTAGCAGTCCACAGGTCTGTGTAAAGAGAATGTTGTCTTTGTTGTGGTAATAAACAATATAAGGCCCACACCACATACAAACATTTTGGTCCTCTCTGGTGACTGAATCTGTGATTTGGAGTCAAAACCTGAGGATTAATCCAAAATGCCATTTCCTCCCATTTACAGAGAGCCATTCCTATGCATTATTGTCCTGCATTAAAGTCTGTTTGCAGAGTACAGTCTCTGATCGTGATCCTGCAGTGAGCTCTATGTGGGTTGCTTGTTTGGAGCTCCTGGCAAGCCTGCGTGGTGAATGGTTATACAATGCTCAGGATTTAAAAATTTTCACAGCCTGGAGGGATGGAGCAATGTTGATCTAAATAACTTGGTGCAAAAATACATAAATGTACAGCTGCCTCCTACTAAATTAATGTTGAGGTTTCACAGGTACACTGGTTTCAAGATGGAGCCTTGCACAGCAGGGCTTGTAGATAGAGGCCAGCATGGATACAAAATTGGTATCCACATCTGCATCTGCAAAAATGCTCCATGGATATTGGTAGTTTTGCAGGGCTGTACTTATAGTCTCCATAGGCTGCATCACCACATGGACAGATGCGATCAGAGTCTTTTCTGGCTTCTTAAGTCTGTCAGCTTGTCTCTCGTGGGCTCCCGCCCTGTTACTTCACTGCAGGCCCTCGCTTGGCAGAAATTGGGAGCTGCTACTGAAATGGAATCATGAGATGGACGGGAAAAAATATATATATAAAGCCATCAAACTGACCTTGCATTTCCTCAGCACATCAAAGCAGCTGCTGCCTCCCAAAGAGGCTGCCCTTTCCAGATGACTGGCCATGCTGAGAGAGAGTTTGCTCTCTGCAACACAATAAAGGTCACTTAGTCTTTAATACAGCAAGGCTGGGGTGGCAACACAATAAAGGTCACATAGTCTTTAATACAGCAAGGCTGGGGTGAATGTAGCTCATGTTCCCATGTGGAAGAGAATGCAGCACATTATCTGAGACATGTAGCCCCGGGGAACTCATCCTTCTCTTTACAGCCTCAAAATCACCTCAGGCACAGCGAGAATCGGCCTTGTGGTGGGAGAAGGCGTAGGCAGCTATCACATAGGAGCAGTGGAAGAGCCAGCTGCACCCATAATATGGATTGACTGATTCCACCAGCAATCCCAAAGTGACTGTGAATATTATACCAGACCATTTTCTCCCTAAAATCCTTCCCTCACATGCTGTGTGTGTGTCAGGTATTTATGTAACTGTTAATACTTGGCCAAATTCACCTTGCAACGATCATAGGATCCTCCCTGCAGACATTGAAATAGTGACAGAGTTGGCTTGGCCTGCCATTCCCATTTAAATTATCAACCTTTGGGATACTTTTCTTTATATACCATCCACTGCTCTGCAGCACTCAGGGTTTTACACCGGAAATACAGCGATTCCAATTATGCATAATTAGCCCATGTCCAAATAGGATTGCCAGGTGTCTGTTTTTTGCCAGGACAGTCCGTTATTTCTGGCCCCTGTCCGGTAAAAAACCAGAAAATAACGGACATGTAAAATGTCTGGTATTGTCTGTTTCTCTCGGACGGAAGGCCGGTGGGGACATTATTCCCCAGCTGCATCTGGCAAGGGCGGGGGGAGCGAGAAGCGTGGGGATTTTTTTTGCTCAACTGATTTTTTTTCCTGCCATGTTTGGGATTTTTTGTATCTGGCAACCCTATATCCAAGGTGTTGTCTAGGCAGATACATTAAACGTGGTCTCTACCCTGAAGAGCTCGCAACCCACGGCACTGGCCTTGAGGGCTGTTCTACAAAAGCAAACCCATAGCCCAAAGGGAAGCCCTTGCTAAAATCAACGTGGCTCCGTGGGGATGCAGGGACCTGTGCACATGGAGCAGCTGGGCTATTCCTGAATGTAATGTAACAAGAGGGAGATGAAGGGAGAGATGTCACGCGCATACACACACACCCTTTTCTCCCCCCCCACACACATTTTTCCCCCATTCCATGTGGACTTCTAATAATGATCCTGTTTTAAACCCACTATTACTTGTTTGGGTACGCTGCGTTTAATCCACCCTTCCCACCTCTAACTGGAACCCGCCCAGCCCAATGGCATAGCCAGAAGTGCCCACTTGGGTGGGCCTCAACTTTGGATAAGTGGGCAGGAATGTAGGGCAGAGCGGGACAGGAGGGATGGGCGGTAAACCCTGACCCCGCTCCCTGGACAGGGTGTCAGGGCAGAATGGGGTAAGCCCTGACCCCGCTTCCCGGAAAGCGAGATAAGCCCTGGCCCCCACACCCTGGCTGGAGCAGAGTGAGTGGGATACGCCCAGCTCCCTGCCCACTTGGGTGGGCCCCAACTTTGGATAAGTGGGCAGGAATGTGGGGCAGAGCGGGACAGGAGGGATGGGCAGTAAACCCTGACCCTGCTCCCTGGCCAGGGTGTCAGGGCAGAATGGGGTAAGCCCTGACCCCGCTTCCCGGAAAGCGAGATAAGCCCTGGCCCCCACACCCTGGCTGGAGCAGAGTGAGTGGGATACGCCCAGCTCCTTTCCCCCACTGGCTCGCTGGAGTGGGGTGAACAGGGTAAACCCCAGCGCCCGGGCCCCTTTCCCCGGGTGGCTTGTCCCTGTGCTCAGATCCCACTCCCCGGCTGGTAAGCTGGGTGGGCTGGCACTGGCAGGAGATGGGCCTAGAATAGATGCAAAGTGGGTGGGCCACGGCCCACTCAGGCCTATCCGTGGCTACACCCCTGCCACAGCCTCTCTTCCACTCCCTTCCCTCTGCACGCATGCCATCCAT